ATCACATTTAGCAGTGTATCCAGCACTACCACCGGTCAAAGTTTGAAATAATTAAGATTTTAAAAATATTTTTGAAAGAATGTTTTTTATGCTCACCAAGACTGCATTTATGTGATCAAAAATACAGTAAAAACAGTCATTTTGTGAAATATTACAATTTAAAATAACTGTTTTCTGTATTATTGTATTTATGTTTTTGTGCTTTCAAATGTTCAGTTTCCACAAAAATGTTATGCAGCAAAAACTGTTTTCAACATTATAATAATATGAAATGTTTATAGAGCACTAAATCAGCATATTATAATGATTTCTGAAGGATCATGTGACACTGAAGACTGAAGTAATGGCTGCTGGTAATTCAGCTTTGAATAAATTACATTTTAAAATATGCCAAACGTTATTATTTATTTATTTATTTATTTATTTGTCCTGACCTTTTGCCTAGCCTTATACTCCTGCATTATATAATTTACTGAGAAAGTAATTATATCATATCATGTGAGATATTCCCAGTATTCTCTCTCTCTTTTCCCGTCCTGGCATCTGTTGCTGAGAGCTTTGGACAGTCCTGTCAGTCACAAGCTTGTTTTTCAAAACCTCTTAAATCCCAATTACTGAAGTATCCATGCTCTGTGTGGTTTGTGCTAAACAGAAATATGAAGAGAAGTCTGGTGGCCTGTAGTTCAACATTATCATGTTACAATAGGCAGCATCACGGCTTTGGGAAATTAAAAAGAGATCAGACTGAAAGCGCTGGAATTGTTCATGGACTGCTTCATTGTCTTCTAGAAGTGTTGGTATGTTCTGTGGGGGAGGGATCACTGATAATGAGGTCAATGGATTTGGGGTGGAGTGGGCGGAGTCACAGAAATACAGAAGATATTGTCAAGCTAGTTATACTTAAAGGGATCAATAAAGAAATTGTCATTATTTGCTCCCCCCTCATGTCATCTTTTCCACTTTATTTTATTTTGTGAAATATGAAAAAAGATGGAAGGAATGTCCAAGCTTATGCTGATTTATTATCAATGTTGAAAACAGCTGTGCTAACTAATATTTTTGTGGAAACTCTGATACATTTTTAGGATTATTTGATGAATAGAAAATTAAAAAGAGCATAATTTATTTGAAATACAATCTTTTGTAACAGTGTACCTGTTAAAGTTTTTAGTATTTAGTATTTCTCTCTTTTATAAAAGTAAGAATAAAATAAGAACAAATAGCTTGATGAATTAGTTCTTAGCACATGATATGGAGCTTGAGTAGCTCGACACGTGGTTTGGGGAGGGTTTACAGAATGAGCCTGGGTTACTTCACAAAGACAATAAGTAAAAGCCAAATGATCTTCCAGATGAAGGTTTTTCTTCCAGCCTGAATATACAAACTCTCAGGAGCTTCAGTTTTCATATCATTGAGTGTGTTTGAAAGAGAATTAGTTCTGGATTTTCCACGCTTCTCCAAAGGGCGTTATTTATTTCTGCCTGCTAGCACAGATTCTTGAGCAATAACACATAAACTTTGCTATTCTGTATATATTGTGTCAATAATTTTGCTTATTGTTGAGCCTATGCAGTTTATAGGGCTACTGATATAAAAAAATCAAATTGGAAACTTGGTGGTTTGAGAACAACTGAGATGAACTCAGATGAGATGAAAAGACACATATATAATTTAAGTTTTGACGCAAGTTTATTTATTTTTTTGTACAAATGATGCCCTTTTACACTGGAGCAGCATTTCTGGGACATGAAAGGCGGAAATGTTCAATGAAAGTCCCTTGTTTGTCTTGAATTACATGCATACATATTTGCTTTCCGCAGACATTCACTCTTCCAATCTGATATTAAAATGATGTACCCCAGGCCCTTGGTCATCTGATTTCAATGTGAGATTTGCTAGAAAAGACCGGGATGCTGTATGACGCCACACTGGTCTTGTGTGAGTGAGTGGCATTCAATTGAGTTGTGTAATAGTTGGACCCTGGAGTCATGCAGGAATATGCTTGAGCGGATTCCTTTTTTTTTTAAAGCAGTGCTGTCAGTAAGACTCATGGGATAGATGATTGAAGCAGAGAAAAAACTAAGATGAGATAGAAAAGAATAGAATACATGCAGTTCTTTTTGCCAGGCCCACATGGAGTCTGGCAGATTTTTGTAGAATTGGAACACTGGACGTTCTACACATATTCCACCCTTTGCATGTTTGTCTGATAAATATTTTGGCTAATTCGATGTACTATTTTTAGACATTTTCAATACATATATACATATACAGTATATAACAACAGTTTAAGCCTGTTCATTGAGTTCAGTATAGAATCCGATGTGTTTATTTAGGTGTGAAGTTCAACTGCTTGAGTTTGTGTTTCTTTCTGGAAGCAGACATCAGTTAGACGGGGAATCAGTGGGGAGCTCACTGTAGTAGGAGGCAACTTTAATGAAAATTGAACACCACTTGAACTAACTTGGCAGTCTGCCGCTCAGCATGCCGGCCTCATTATTTACCCATTAACGGACTCTCTGTTATAGCAGGCAAAGACTTGCTACTTTATCATGACTCCACATCGACTTGAATAAACAGAGTTTAGTCTCCTCAGCCTAATCTTACAGCTGCCATTTCTTATTATGACAAACGGATGCTTAAATTCACACAGTAAGCAAAAATTGTGTTGTCTATAAGCAAAAAGTTAGGACTAACTCCTGCCAAGATTCAACAAAACATTTTTGTTAATGTTTAGAAAATTCAAGCTTCTCTTCAGAATCACATTTAGCAGTGTATCCAGCACTACCACCGGTCAAAGTTTGAAATAATTAAGATTTTAAAAATATTTTTGAAAGAATGTTTTTTATGCTCACCAAGACTGCATTTATGTGATCAAAAATACAGTAAAAACAGTCATTTTGTGAAATATTACAATTTAAAATAACTGTTTTCTGTATTATTGTATTTATGTTTTTGTGCTTTCAAATGTTCAGTTTCCACAAAAATGTTATGCAGCAAAAACTGTTTTCAACATTATAATAATATGAAATGTTTATAGAGCACTAAATCAGCATATTATAATGATTTCTGAAGGATCATGTGACACTGAAGACTGAAGTAATGGCTGCTGGTAATTCAGCTTTGAATAAATTACATTTTAAAATATGCCAAACGTTATTATTTATTTATTTATTTATTTATTTGTCCTGACCTTTTGCCTAGCCTTATACTCCTGCATTATATAATTTACTGAGAAAGTAATTATATCATATCATGTGAGATATTCCCAGTATTCTCTCTCTCTTTTCCCGTCCTGGCATCTGTTGCTGAGAGCTTTGGACAGTCCTGTCAGTCACAAGCTTGTTTTTCAAAACCTCTTAAATCCCAATTACTGAAGTATCCATGCTCTGTGTGGTTTGTGCTAAACAGAAATATGAAGAGAAGTCTGGTGGCCTGTAGTTCAACATTATCATGTTACAATAGGCAGCATCACGGCTTTGGGAAATTAAAAAGAGATCAGACTGAAAGCGCTGGAATTGTTCATGGACTGCTTCATTGTCTTCTAGAAGTGTTGGTATGTTCTGTGGGGGAGGGATCACTGATAATGAGGTCAATGGATTTGGGGTGGAGTGGGCGGAGTCACAGAAATACAGAAGATATTGTCAAGCTAGTTATACTTAAAGGGATCAATAAAGAAATTGTCATTATTTGCTCCCCCCTCATGTCATCTTTTCCACTTTATTTTATTTTGTGAAATATGAAAAAAGATGGAAGGAATGTCCAAGCTACTCTTTTACACAAGTAATAATGTGACTTTATATTTGCATATTTTCTATTTGTATATATTTATATTACAGCTGTTTCTTATGCTCACCAAGGCTGCATTTCGTTGATCAAAAATGCAGCTTTTATAAAAACAGAAATATTGTGAAATATGTTTTTTTTTTTTACAATTTAAAATAACTGTTTTCTAATTTAATACATTTTAAAATATAATCTATTCCTGTGATGACAAAGCTGAATTTTCAGCAGCCATTAATCTAGTCTTCAGTGTAACATGATCCTTCAGAAATCATTCTTATTAGTTATAAATAATTCTTATTATTCTCAATATTGAAAACAGATTTGCTGCTTAATATTTTTGTGGAAACCATGGTACATTTTGTAGGATTCTTTGATGAATAGAACAACAGCATTTATTTGAAACAGAAAATCTTTGCAAAATGTAAATGTCTTATTTACTGTCACTGTTTATAAAAAAAAAATAACAATAATAATCTTGCTGACCCCAAACTTTTCATTAATTTATTTATATATTTATTTATATATTTATTTATATTTATATTTAAGTTGATGTAATTTTTTTTATGCAAATATGATTTGTGTGCTCCATCAGAAGAGAAGATTATCAGTGAATAACGTCTTAAAATTAATTTTGTTCTTCACACAGAGTCCACTTTTATGATACTTTTATGCAGTTCTTTTGTAGCTTGACAGTATGAATGACCTATATGCAATATGAAAGTGAGTAAATGATGAGTGAACTTTATAAGTGCCCTGACCAGCCTTTCTTTAAACATGGAATATCATCCTTCCTGCCACACGCCTTCACCTCACACGGGGAGACATGCTAAAAATAAGTGTCTGGTGTGAGGGTGGAGTTTGACGAGAGTTTTCAGACTCCTGGGCGGCAGAGAACAGTGCGAGACATGGACAGGAAGGGACAACTTCCTAATGTCCCGAGTATCACATAAAATCTGTTCTTGCATTAGATAGATATAGAGCAAAATAAACATTAAGAAACCAGGACAGTGAGGTTAGGAAATATCTACCACACCACACATGCCCTCCAATGTCAGAATGATTCTTGTAGAGTGAGTGCAACATTGACAGTGTGTGTGGGATTTGAAAGTATGAAAAAAGGCTACCTAGAGGATCCTCTGCTGGAAGCACAGCCCTCCCTTTTCCTCTCGCTCGCTCTCTCTCTCACTCACTCACAGTCTTTCTCAGCTGGCTCCGCTCTCTCTCAGTCTTGCGCTGTGACCGTGTGTGCGCTGAGCTTGTGCAAAGAGAGAGAGAGCACAACAGAGAAGCGCCTAGGGCTTCACCGAGCTTTAGTTGAGTTTAGTCTCAACAGTGTTACTATTTAAAACAGTCAGAGAGGAAGAGCGCACAACATCTAGGAGATAAGCAACCACAGAAACACACTTTAAAGTGAGACTGTGAGTGGTCTGGACACTCATGGTCCTCTCCTGAGGCTGTGACTGCTTCACCAGGAGAGATGTGATCGTTGTGCGACTTATTTAACACAGAGACACACCTGCTCCATCCTCAGGTGGCGTTCCGAAGGACTGGATTGCTGAAACGACACAGTGTTTACCAGAGGCCAGTGGACTGCACGCAGCCGGGGCGAACATGGACTACCTGTGGGGGATTGTACTGCTGCTGTGGACGCTCGGCGCACCGGAAAGAGGAACAGACGCACAGAGGAGCAAGAACAACGTACCCCGGCTCAAACTCTCATATAAAGGTCAGTCACCTTCTGCTTCTGCTGCTGATGGGGATTCTGGAAAATTGATCAGAATGATTGAGGAATCTTAGAAGAGCAGATGTTAAAGTTTGATGCTTTCCTGTCTGGAGTTGGAATACGGGTCTGGTTGCTTCATTGATATGATTCACATGGTTTAATTATGCATGGTTGGTCATTTTGAAAGATGTTTTTGAAAGAATGAAAGTGAAGCTGGACATCATATTGATAGTCATGGGTATATATGGATATTTGCGTTCATTATTCATAACTAAAATATTAGAGGGGTGTTACTGAAAGTGATATTGTCTTTTGTGATTGGCTAGTGCTGAGGGGTGAAATTATAGATCAAAAATTGTGAAAAACATTAGTGTAGGATTTAACAATTTTCACTCAGATATCACAAGTAAATTTCATTAATAATTACCAAGTAACACATTGAGTTAAATGTGAAATTTTGAAGTAGAAAGCAGAAATATTATTTTCTTGTAAAACATACTCCAGTAATCTTTTTTTTTTTTTTCAATTAAGGGATTCAGTAATCTTAGATTTTATCAACAATGCCTTTTTCTTTTTCTTAATTTTTTAATATTTAACCTTAAAAAGTGGATCTATACAGTTATTTAAGGCACTATTTCTACCTGATCTGACTCTTAAATATTACTTTTGTTTGTAGTATCTGTTATGGTTGATTCAGTAATATTAAAAAATACATTTGACTTGATCAAAACCAGTTATTGTAGCTGTTACCACTTAAAGGACATTTTTTAGGTTACCAAATGAAGCATTTTGTACAGTTTAGAGCTTTAATTCACAGTATTACTTTTGAAGGAACCATTTAGGTTTAATTCTACAAGATACAGGATTATGTATCACACAATATTATGTATTATGTAGGATTATGTATCACACAATATATAAGAAGTTCAGTTTCATGCACAGGTTAAATCAGGCATGTGTAGTTATGTTTGTGCATTTGCAGAGCCTGTGGGCTGAATGCGTTTGTCTGGATGCACAGGTGGGAATGTTTAAACCGCTGGCATTCATTGTTTCCCTGAAACACCTACACGTATACAGTTCAAACGCCAAAATACAGACTAAACTCTGTTTTTAATTTGTATGCTGTACATTTTGAGTCTAACTTAATAATATCAGTCAATCATAAATGATCTATCATGGCGGTTTTGCTTCAGTATCCAACACAGTACAATTGTTTTCAATTAATAAATTATTTTCACCTTGCATAATTTTATTCATGTTTTTTGAGTATGAGAACATGTCATTCAAACTTTCCATGTTGGCATCTGCTAATTTGATTAGCGTCTGCTAAGTTATACCAAATTTGCACCATAATATTGTAGAAATTGTTTAGATATGTGGTGTTTAATGTCATCAACAGATATTGGAAATATGGATAAGCCAATTTATTTTGCTATAATAACTATACATGGATTTTATTTTTATACAGCAGTGTCTGACTCTATCAAAACAGACTTGCCCATTTTTGGGTTGCGACCCATTGCTTGAGAACCACTGATCTATTATACTCTTCTCTGCATGTAAATGTACTGTACTTTCCTCCACTTTTGTTGCTCAGCTAGAGTAAATTGTTTATACGATTCCCAGTGGTTTGAGGGCGTGTGTTATGATAATTGCAGACTGTATCACACAAGATGGCAGTTTTTAACCGTGCAGTTTTGTTAAAACATTACAACTCTTCCCATTCGATTGGCATTCATGATGAAGTGAACTGTCAGAAGTGAATTTACACGAGTGTTTAAATGCAAGAGCTTGTTCCACCCTCCCTCTGTAATTAGAAAGAGCCACAGAGAGAGAGAGAGAGAGAGAGAGAGAGAGAGAGAGAGAGAGAGGGGTTTAACAGTCAGGGCAGATGGCTGTATAAAAGTGAACCATTTCTCTCTCTGCCAGCTTTCTAATTGCACTGACAGCTCCTCATACTCTAGGCTGATCTAAGCAAACACAACTTGGTTAAATGCCAAGACTGATTCTGATATCCACAAGCACCAGAGCAAACTCACACACCTGTGAACATTTGTCACCACAGTTTGGCTGATTCATCTTTTTCTGAATTTTCATTAATTAAAATGCATGTGGGGGTGTGTAATTACTCATGAAGAGCATATATTTGTTGTTTGTTATATATACTTTGATTTACTATAAATGTATTTAACTAAAACAAGAACATCGTTTTTTTTTTTTGCTGGTGAAATATGTGTTTTTGGTGGCACTAGTGTCACCAAATGGAACTGAAAATATATATATATATTTTTGTTTGTTTTTTATTACAAATTGATTTATTTATTTAAACAGCTTTTTTGAAAAACCTTTGTCTTCCTTTGGTCGGAAAAACATATTGTTGTGCCCAAAATCAAACCATTTGTTTAGCCAATTTTATTGTGTTGGACTGGATGGGATGCTCCACAGTTTTTACAGTTTTTGTGAGAATCCAAGAATTGTTTGCTTGTAGTCAATGTAGGTTGGATTTAAAAAAAAAATAGATATTAAGATATTTAAGGAATGTAAATTCGTATAGGATTAATACCTATAAAACAGTGCTGAAACACATTTTACATTATTTCAGATCATTATTACTTAAAAAGTATCAATAAAAATGTAAAATTAAAAAATGTACTATACTCTAACCTTCACAGTAAACTGCTGACATTATCAGATTTGAATCAAAACATGATTTGACTAAATAATGAAACTTTCAAATATTGAGGACCACTTTAAATGTATCCACAAGTTGTTTTTGACACGTTTCACTATAATTGTGAGGATAGAATTGTGGCCCTCACATGTACAACCCAACTTGTAAACAAACACATAGCTGTAGAGTCCTTTTAGCCATATTTCCAAAGAATGAAGGTGTGTGTGTGTGTGTGTGCGTGTGTGTGTGTGTGTGTGTGTGTACAAAAAACTTTTTTTTTACTTTTTGAAAAAAAAAAATATATATTTTTGTTCTTTTTTAGAAATATAAAATGTATTTAAACATTTATTTTATTTTATTATTTTATTTTTACCAGTTGATTTAAATCTTACCCATGAAACACATTTTTAGATTATCCTGACAACATGACCCAGACAAGTTGAGCCATTTACAAGAAGACAAAATTTCCTAGAGGTCCTCCCATAGACATAAAGTTTTTCAAACTATGATAATGATATTTTCTATACTCTTAACCTTCACAGAAACCTGCTCACATTATCATACTTGAATCAAAACATGATTTGGCTGAATTATGAACCTTTTAAATATTGAGGACCACTTTAAATGTCTTCACAAGTTGTTTTTATTGTGTTTTACTAAGTGAGAATATATTCCAAAATGTGGTCCTCACGTGTACAACCAAACCTGTACACATTCACATACATGCTGTACAGCTGTATTTCCATAGAATGGAGGTGTGTGTGTGTGTGTGTGTCTGTGGAGAGGAAGCCACCCATGAGGAAGTCCTGACTGAGCACTGGTGTTCCTCACAGGGGTGGTATCAGTGTCCCCTCTGAGCCGAAAGTTCCTGGGGCAGGTTAACAGTAACACCTTTACATAAATGTCAACCGGTGTGGAAAGACATAAAGAACTGGATAATGGATGTAGCTGCATGTTGTCTCAAATAAGTGGCAAAGAATCAAGAGATTGACTACTTCAGTGCATGCATATTGTATGTGTGTGTGGATTTGTGTGGTGGGATAATGTTTTTGGTGTAAAGCTATCCCATTCCGAAGTGAATGTTTTAAGACGGCTATAATCTCATGAAGGAATGAGAGAAGTTTTATTTCACTTTAATTAAGCTTTTAATCCACAAACATGCCAGGAATCTGGTGTTGGGTTGCATTTGCAGCATGTGAACTCTCCGTATCCTATAAAGGCGCAGCGTTAGAGCGCACACATCTAAAACAATACTCTGCCAAATTCCTGTGAAATGGAAAATATTTATGCCGTAATACAGATTTTCCCCCTCGGAAAGCAAAAATACATGAGGGAAATTGGATTAGATTTGATTTCAGGTTTTTGATTGCTTTAAAATCATCTTTGGACCCTGTGGAGAGAGTTCAAACAATAAGGTATGCTAATAATCAGAACTCCAGATTTGATTAGATGGACATGCATGCTGTGATGAATGGAAAAAGGTGAGCGTGGATAGCACTCATGTTTCATCTGCCCACACGCAAACACAAACACACACACACACACACACACACACACACACACACACACACACACACACACACACACACATGTGCCCTGCAGAGCAGAGAGTGCAGGCAGTATGTAGGGTAGGGAAGTTTATTTTTATCAGCCTCAGATGGGACCGTTCCTCTGCCTCCACCTGCCCTCCCCTCCTCGCTTGTGCTTTCAGATGTTTTTCCACAACAATAGATGGAGGGAAAGAGACAGAGAGATGGTCTCAGAGGTTTGAAGAGGCTGAGACTAGCTCTTCTTCAGATTAGCAGCATGTCTAAAGCCACATCCTCCTGTGTGACTGCGTGCTGCTACTGTAGATTACCCACAATGCCAGGCAGGGGCACCGTATATTCTGGAATCTGACACAGAACATTTTTGCACTGACTCAGCTAAACCATGATACACTACTGTTTAAACTTTAAATGTTTTTTTTTTTTTTTAAAGAAGAATGATTTCTCTTATGCTCTTATTTGGTCTCTTATTTGATCTAAAGTACAGTAAAAATAGTAATATTGTGAAACATTATTACAATTTTAAATAGCTGTTTTCTATTTTTTTTATATATTTTAATTTGTAATTAATTCCTATGATGCAAAGCTGACTTTTCAGCATCATTACTCCAGTTTTTAGTTGCACATGATCTTTCAGAAATCATTCTAATATGCTGATTTGCTGCTCAAGAAATTAATATACCAAGCTCAAGCTTAATGTTTTTGTTTGATACACTTTTCAGGATTCTTTGATGAATAGAAAGTTCAAAAGGACTTCTCTTTGAAATAGAAATCTTTTGTTGCATTATAAGTGTTTTTACTGTCACTTTTAATAAATTTAATGCAACATTACTAAATAAAAGCATTAATTAGTTAAAAAAAAATCTTACTGACTGACTGCAAACTTTTGAAAGAGTGTTTACAAAGCATAAAGCTAAATTGTATTATTTTTTTCTGGTGAAGTTGTCATTGAGCAAGTGCCGTTTTCTCTTAACTACTGAAACTGGACTGTGTTCTCAAAAGCACACAGTCCTGGTCTCTTTTCCAACATGTTAAGAGATTATTAATCATCTCAATTCGGCAACACGGCTATCAAAATGATCTCTTTCCAAATCACAGCATTTTCAATAATATATCTGCAGATTCCATGTAGACTTTAACTATTATTAGTTCATGAACAAACCTACACTCAGTAGTTAAAAAATTCATCCTGGAACTGAAATGTGTTTTTTTTAGCTTCAGTATTCTGATGCTAGTGATTTCAGTGATTGATTGCTAAAGTTTTACATTTGATGCCCACAGTCTTACATTTTTGCTTACATCCTTGCAGAATGAACTTTAAAACCATTTGGTGTTCCTTGTCTTTGTCTTTGGCAACTCAAATCCTTGATTCTGAGAACCTGTTCCTCAGGGTGTTCTCAGGTAATGTTTAATAGATAAGTAACTCTGGGCTATATGATAATTACAGCTCATGCGCTATTGATTCACACAGCAACTGTCGCTAGAGCTGAGTCTCTTTGAGTGAAACCTGCCAAGAACAGTCACTTTTTGAGATTTATATCAGAGTTATGTGTCTGTGTGTAATGGATATTACTGATTAAAAAAGCACTTTTCACTGTTTTACTAGGCAGTTAGATCATAAATATCATGTCCACATTTTACACAAGATCAGGTTTTATTACACCAGATTGAAAACTTAATGTTCTCAGAAGGTATTTAATTTCCAGGCCCAATTAAACTCACTTCTCACACCTCGATCTGATCACACACTCACAAAGACATGCAGAATGATGTAATAATTACAAAATGTTCTATCTGGGGTATCTGATTTATGAGCTCGGAATGCCCTGGCAACCGTCTGGATCATAACAGAGGCGTTCAAAAATATAAACGAATACATCATGCTTTGTTTTCACCTATTTGACAGAGAAAAACTTGACGATTGATTTATTGTTTTGATGAAGACACACAATTATAACAAAGCAGCAATGTTTCAGAATGCTCACAGACTTTTGTACATACGGTACACAGACTATTTGTTCAAAAGCAATGCTTGACAATAATCAAGTGCAGTTCATTTCCTCTTGAATAGTGAGTGTTTGTGATTGTTGATGGAGTCATTTTGCAGTTCTAGAGAGCGTTTGTGTGTGTATTTGATTGCTGTATATGTGTGCATATTTTAATTAGACCTCTTCCCAGCACAAGTGCATTACGCAAACAGACCCTTGACAATCCGATGAGACGCCTGTGCACATAGTGCGCATAGTCACTCGTTTACACCAGCCAAAGTGAGCATAAAACTCATCAAAAAAGGCGAAAATAGCAAAAGGAGAGAGTATGACAGCAACAATGACATGTTTCTATGACATAAAGCTCAGAGGAAACGCTCGTTAAACTTTGTACTGTTCATTTCCTCACAGTACCTGAAATATCCTGTGAAATATACGTAAAACCACAAAAGTCTGTCAATACACTGTCAAGTTGTTTGCAAAATACATTGCTTTGAACTGAATGCTAGTGATAGTTTTATGTTGAAAGATACTGAAATATAATAATTCATATATCGACTTGAAATAAGCAAATATATTGTAAAATGTATTTTATATTTTGTTAAAATATTTTTGCAAATATATTACACAATATAATTAATTTGATTTAACTGATTTAAAAAATAAGCAAAACTTGCAATTCACTTATTTTGTTTCAAGTTTGGCTAATTTGCTAAAGCTTTCAGCTGTAAATAATAGTGCTTTCTTTTACACATTTTATCATGTTTGAATCAGTTTCACAGATTTTTTTTTTTTTTACCATAGTGAGCACAGTGATAGTGAAAAAAAGTCTGATTTTGTCAAGTCAGGTTACCTTTATTTATATAGTGCTTTATACAAAGCGGTTTCACAGTTATAAACAAGAAAATATTGATTCAGTGATGCAAACCAGATTTAATTCGGCTGTAATGCAGCTCTAAAAAGACAATAGTAAACAGTCATTATTCAGTTGTGTGAAGTTTAGGCCGAAATGAAACGATTATAGCTTTCGGAACAATTTTTATTTGAACAGAAACAGGTTTGTCTTAGAAAAAGCCTGTTTGTGAGTGAACGCGCACATTGAAGTGATGGTGAGATGAATTCCATGGGGTTTCGAGTGTGTCTGAGTGTGTAAAAGGCATTCGGAGTGTTTTTGAGTCATGGCGCCAAATGGAAACACCACAGCCACTCCAAACCTGAGTGAGAGATTCACTTGCGTTCTCTCTTTCTCCTCTTCTCTCACTGACCTCTTTTAAAGGTCCCATGACATGCTGCTTTTTGGATGCTTTTATATAGGCCTAAGTGGTCCCTAGTACTGTATCTGAAGTCTCTTTCCCGAAATTCAGCCTTGGTGCAGAATTTCAGCCACTACGAGCCAGTCCCACAATGAGCTTTCCTTAGGACGTGCCATTTCTGTGTCTGTAGCTTTAAATGCTAATGAGGAGGAGAGAGGCGGGGCAACTGCCATGCTTCGCTCGTTTACAAGCCATGATGTCTCTCGAGGAAAAAAAAAATTGCGCTCGCCTCGCACGGTAGTAGCTCATTTTCTCATGGGCGGGCCAAATTCTCTGGGCGGTCAAAGCAGAGAAAGGGGAGGTAACCTTTCCCCGTATGACGACATAAAGGGAAGATTCCAGATTGGGCCATCTGAGCTTTCATTTTCTCAAAGGCAAAGCAGGATACCCAGGGCTCGGTTTACACCTATCGCCATTTCTAGCCACTGGGGGACCATAGGCAGGCTAGGGGAACTCATATTAATGTTAAAAAACCTCATAAAGTGAAATTTTCATGCCATGGGACCTTTAAGTCATCTCAACCTTAGTCTTAACCTTTCTTAATTCTTCTCTTCTCTTCTCCTATGTGACACTCCACAGGTTTGTCTTTCCTTTCTCACACTTTCATCTTTCACTCTTTCCTCTCTCCTGTTCCTCCTCTATTCCTCTCAGGCCCTTTGAAAAACTCTTGTCACACTGAACTCATTCTGACTTAGAAACATATTATGTGTTTGTGTGTGTGTGTAGTTATGAAGATTTGCATGCAATAATTACTTTAAAAAGTTAAGTATTCCTTAATTCAGTTTTTCATTCACTCATTTATTGAGTATATGAAAATGATGTCTATGTATAGGTGTGTGTGTAATATTCTTTTTACTAATTCATGAATTAATTTACTTATTTACAATTTTTGTAACCTAAAAGGGTTGTTCATGATCATGTGTTTGAATTTAAGTACATTTATTTATGTTTATTTTTGTATGATGAATACTGATGGGTTATAAAATCTAATACAACCTAAAACCTAACACACATACACACCTAGACACTCATAGGTTACAATAATTGTCCAAACACTTCCATATTTCTCAGCTGCTATTAATGTCCCTCTGGAGAGCAATTTAAGTGTGACGGCAGGGAAAATCTTACTTCCCTTAAGGACAAATGCTGTAATTACAGCTGGCTGGTCCCGTCACACATTTTTTGTTTTCTTTAACGTGGCTTTACACCACATGCTTTCTTGTGTGGAATATAAGTTAAGAGATGTACACTCTCAGAAAAAAACGGTACGAAAGCTGTCACTGGGGCTATACCCTTTCAACAGGTACTAATATGCTCTCTTTAGGAGTAAATGAGGTACAAAGGTATTTCTTTTGAAAGGGTATTACCCAAGTGACAGCTTTTGTACCTTTTTTCTGAGAGTATATTAACGATTAAAGGCATCATGTTCAACTTGTTTTTCCATACAGTGAACGCATAACAAGTCCTGCATGCAAAAAGGACTTGAAAGCACAATAAAAGTGCACTCATGCATTTTATTCTTAGTCGTCTGAAGCAATATGATGGGTTTGTTTGAGTCGTTATTCACTGAAAATCGTCTGTAATCCTCAGATATCCTCTCTGCATGCACAATCAAGATAACTCAAATTCCAGTCTGTTCCTCACACAAAGCTACTGCATGTCTTCTGAAGACTTGATTCTTTTACTGTGCTTTCTTGCGGCTTGACAGTCACTGTTGAATGATTCTGAGTGGGAGTAAATGAAGACAGAAATGTCATTTTTGGCTAAGCTATTCCTATAATAAAGAAATAAACAAATAAAATACGAAATCCCTAGCAAATGTGGCCTATCAGTATTGTGTAGCTACTTGAAACTATTTTATAAACAAGATTACTTTTGTTTATTATGGCTCGGCTTCATTCAGCTATTTGCTCTATAGAGAATTAAATACATAGGAAAAAATTGAAAAATGCACAAGCAAATATCTGTGTGTACCTATGAGCACCGCCAGCTTTCCCAGCTGCATATTTGCTACAACCACAGTCACTAGTCTCACACAGACTAGAGCAGAGCTGCCGTCCCTGCTGAGCTGTTCGCTGTCAGAGCCAAGGTCCATCTATCTGTCTCCCTCTCAGCCATATTACTCTAAAAAATGAAGATGAGGTCGGAAAACATCACGTTTTTTACGTATCGTCGGCCATATTTGAAAACTCAGCATTTGGGTGTTAATTTTTCTGTCAGCTTTTGCTTTTGAAGTTTGTAGGTTAACCATTCTCAAATAAATCCTATATACTATATTCCCTTTTTTTCCAACAGAAATGTTGGAGTCCAACAACCTGCTCACTTTCAACGGATTGCCCAACAGCTCTGCCTATCACACCTTTTTATTGGACGAAGAGAAAGGTCGGCTCTTTGTGGGGGCAAAAGACCATGTGCTGTCCTTCAACTTGGTGGACGTCAATCTGGACATGGATCTGGTAAGACGAGGGTGTTAGAACAACTATTAAACCAATCAGGATAACTTAAAACAATTTGGATGATCAGCATTGCACATGGGGCATCATTCAAATGAAAGTTGATAGTTGTAGGGATGTGCGAAACATATTTCAAACGTGGCTGCCTGGTAAGTTGTCGACTAGCCGACTACTTGGTTATAGGGAATCCCTGCATGATTAGTTTAGTTTAGGGTACATCTATCAGACACTAAACAAACACCGACAGATAGCTGGAATATTTTTCTGCACAATCTGATTTGAAGTCTGACAGTAATTGTCTTGAAAAGGATGTTTTGATAGCTGTCGTGATTGTAATTTAAATGGACTGAAATTAGACTTCACACAATTTCTCAGAAGAAAACAGTTAGCATGTTAAAACTGTCAGCATGCTACCAACCCTCTCAGGGGTGTTGTGTCTCAAAAGTCATCCACTTTAAACACCACAGCAAACAAATTAAAGCTAAAATATTTCAAATGTCCTGTGCTTAAAATCCTTTACCCAAATTGGTGTTTCCGGTCATAAATGGCCAACTTTAAAAACTTGCTTTTAAATCTCTCATTATGCTATATTATCACCAAATCTCACATTCAATCTTTTTGTCAACTTGTTTTCTTTCAGTTTGCACAGGTTTGTATTTCTTTTTGGAACTGATTAATCGTAGGCCTCATTGATCAGAGCTTATGCACATCAGTTTTTGAGTGACAAAAAAGCATTATTTGTGGATATTTTTGGCAATATTCTTGAGGCTGAGATTTGGCAATATTACAAAAAAACTGAGATATATACGCTCAGATCAATGAGGCCTACAATCAATCAGTTCCAAAAAGAAATAAAAAACCTATATAAGCAGTTTTTGTAGCCCGGTCATTTTTGACCAAGTGTAATAAGGTAAGAAAAAATCCCCAAAAAATGACCAGCTCTTTGTTTGGGATGTTGTTAAACATGTGAGCAAAGTCAGTAGGTTTTAGTCTAATGCAGTAACATTAACTAGAATTTTCATGGGGAAAAATCGTCTCTGGGTCAAAATGACTGGAACACAGTCTCTCTCTCTCTCTCATTCTCTTGTTCCCTCTCTCTCTGTCTTATACACACACAAACACGAACACATCAGCACACAGGGGGATCTGTTTCCAACGAAAAGTGTATGAATATTTCAGAGCAAAGCTGTCATACTGATCACATAGAGTCTGGCTGAGAGCTGCTATCCATTCACCTGGATAAATAATGAACAAAATAAACGTAGCCAAGTACAGACAAACGGCGCCAGGGCAAAACCGCAGCCCATTTTAGTCTATATACAACTTTAAAAACATAACCTTCACCGAACAAAGGTAATATAAATGTTACCGTATGAGGAAACATAAGATATATATATAATTTATCCTGAAGAATTTACTTTAGTCAGCTATCTTAGTTACATTATAAGAAGCTGTTCACACAGAACATGCTCTCTATACGCCTCATTTTTGAGCTGCATGAAGTATATAGAGATATTTCCATTGGTTATTTCATCCTATTCTAAAACAAAAAAGTGGGTCAACTAATTCAGTTATTGTCAGGAATAGTGACGCATACTATGCCACATTTACAATTGAGGTCTAATGAGGGCAACATGTACCGCTACCAAAGAAAACTTTCTTCCTCCATACCAACTACTATACAAGTTCTGTATAGTACTTTCTCTCTTTCTGTCTGTTTCATTCAGCACTTATCTGATCAGGATGCAGTTTCACACGTTCACAGCCATCAAACAGGAGCTCCATTACAGCACACTGAACTCTCTCCAGCCACAGGGAGAATGGAACTCGTTGTGACAGCAGTCCCACAGAAACCTCGTTCTTCCCACTAATACAATTCCATTACTCTTTCCACTGAAGGCCTCTTGCACGATGCCTAGGATTTGCACAACACGTCTGGAAAGTTGTGTGTATAGACCCTGGCTAATGCAATAGCTAATATTGATGTATACAGATTTGTGTTAAAGAATGGAGTATACAGTGGGTATAGAAAAGAATCACCCCCCTGTGTGGCAAATTTTACATTTTGAATTTTTAAAAATCGTAGTTTCACCAGAATGGTAAAAAACTTTGTGACTTTTATGGAACTTGGTACGTGAACACACAAAAAAAATTGTGGGCATGATTCGAAAAAGCTAAGTGGTCGTAAAAAAATAGTCACTCATGGTCTTCGGTCAAAAATGACCGACCATAGGAAATGAATGGGAAATAAAGAACATGTTTGTGTTTACAATCTACAAATTTCTATGCAGAAAAAAATTGCACAGCAATGAAGGGGTGAAACTCTAAAACATCTAGAGTGCAAAGTCAACACACCAACTCACACACACGCGGACACACACTTGTACACACACACACACACACACATGAACTGGTGTGACTAACACTGCAACTATGTAAAATAAAATCAATAATTCAACTACAATGCAGTAAAAAAGTGGACAGAAGGAAGGGGTTACACTCTAAAACATCAAGAGTGTAAAACAGATACATCTACTCACACACACTTACTTACACACACTCACAGACACACACATACAAAATTATACATACTCAAATTAATTGGTATGGCTATAACCACATAGCCAAAATGAGTCAGAAGACTGAAATAAGAGGTTAAAATCAGATCAGACCCAGAAGGATTAAGCTCTGATAAAGCATTCCTGTTAATTTTTGCTACATTTTTATAGAATTTTAATGTTTTGTGTAACAAAATGTTTTTTGTGTTCAGGTTTGAATGTAGTAATAATAATGCAAAAACCTACACTTCAAATCAACATTTAAAACAACAAAAAATATAAACTTTGACAATGCCTTAATATACATTTAAATCCACAACCAAATAAAAGTCAACAATTATGCATAAAAACAACTAGGGAATTCACAAGCCTCTCTATAGAGTCCTATACAGGAATCTAGTGGTTGCACCATGAAATTACAGGTTATTCTTTTTTTGCTCTCACCAGGAGGTGCTATTCTGCCTTCAAAAATAGGATTTCAAAGGCCTAGTCTCTATTTTAATCTGAAATAC